ATCGAAAAAACACATCGATTTATTAAGATCAATTACTTACTCGGAAACGGCTCGTCTAACGAAAATTTTCAATCAGATCTTTTTTTTGTAGAGAATTTAATTTTATATAAATATAAGTGAAAAGAAATTTTTTCACTGCTATCGTTTTGACAGTTCTAACGTAAAATATCAAATTATGACTAAAAATCAAAAGTAACGATGATAAACCTCTTAAAATTAATATTAAGGGCTCAAATTTTCATCCTAAATGACATTCTCGATATATTTAAAAAAAAAAAATACTCAATTTTTTGGCTCAGTCTATTGAAGATATAAAATGGGGAAAATGAAATAAAACTTATCTATTACCAGGGATAATTAACATAGTTTGTACCATAATATAAATTATATCAACACCTTTTTATAATTACCTATAATAAACATTTTTTATATTTTAAATATCCAATTAAAGATGAGGATAACATCTAAATTCCCACAATTTGTTCAGCAAACTTTGTACAGTATTTAAAATTCCGGTAGCAAAATACAAATGTGCCGGTTCACTTTCCGCAAACAATTTCCCGCCGAATCCCACAGTGACAATGTAAAATTAAAACTCTTCATTTAGCGAGCTCTACATATGAAATTAGAATGTTTTGGATGGATATACTCACACTACGGTAGCGGTATATACTACCAGACTAGAGAAAGAGTTTTCCTTTTTCTATTAATAAAATTGTATTATATAAATATAATTTGATCACAGAATTATAACAAATAATATTATTCACTTTGATGATTAGATTAGTATTATTATCATTCACTTTAACCACCAAAGTTTAGATAAGTAGTTTTACACTACAATAGATATAATGTACGGTTATTACATCAACTACTACTAGACCAGTGGTCGCCAACCTCTCAATGTGTTGAGCTACTTTGTTAATTTTGGAATAAACAGCGAGCTACCCACACGGAAGCCACGTAACGCAACGTAAATGAAATAATCCACAGTTAATTTATCATTATAAGTATTTATTTTACTATTTAACTGGTAATACATAATACATAGGTACTAATAATAAACTAATAACAAAATAACTAATATTACTAGTACGTACTTGTTCATAGCTACATTCCTACCTACCAAACGAAGGTGTTTGAAAAATAAACACAAACTTTTATCCAGCTACAACGGCATGTCACGTAAGATTTAAAAATAGTTAATAATAACAACAAAAAAGTAACGCACTATCATGAACATAAACATTGAAAAATAAAAAACACGTTCAATGAGAAGGCTGACACTCAGACTCATCGATAATGTTTTTAATGTTTGCAGTATAATTTGATACAGCCATTCAAATACAATTATCCAAATGTTCATCTGTAAGTCGATTGCGATATTTGTTCTTAATAAACTTCATATTGGGAAAAGAAGATTCACACAAATAGGTTGAACTGAATAATGCTTTCACTTTCAAGGCAACACGGCATAGAACTGAATATTTGTCTTTACTTACAATAGGCCAGATACATTTGGTACTTCAGACTAACGATTTTAAGGCTAAATCATTTTGAAACTCAATTATTTCCATTTCTGTTGCAGCGATGTCTTCGCCAAAGTTCTGCATAACACAAGTTGCAAACTGTTGGATATCAATTTCCATAAAGGGTGAAACAACAAACTGCGCTCCTAAAGCCATTTCGTTGAAATCCTTAAAAGTTATTCTTCAGGGTAGAAACTATTTCTACATGATATTTGCTGTCATAGGGTTCTAATGGATTTTGAGATATTTTTTCTGAAAGAATAGGAAAATACTTGGCATCGCTGTTAATTAGGTTTTGTTCCCAAAAATCCAGCTTTTTGATAAATGCTTTTATATCAGAAATCATTTCCGATAATTCTTTGTCTCTTCCCTGAAGCTGCAAATTAAATTCGTTTAATTTCTCTGTAATGTCCACGAGAAAACCAAAATCTCTAAGCCAGATTGAATTTTCTAGTTCCGGAGTCGGTTCATCGCGTTGTTTGAAAAATTGAACTATGCCAAATAGGACATCACTAAAACGTTTCAGCACCTGTCCTCTACTTAATCATCAGACTTCAGAATGAAGGAGTAGGTCCCCGTATTGATAGTCAACTTCATCGGCCAAGGTTTTGAATAATCTTCTTTGTAACGCTTAAGCTTTAATTTTGTTCACAATTTTTACCACCAGTTTCATAACGTTGTTTAGTTTCAGGAAATTTCCACAAAATGCTTGCTGATGGATAATGCAGTGGTAACAAAGAAATTGCGGAAAAGTTTCATCTTAACGACAACGCCACCAGACCCTTATCACAACCCACCATATCTGGAGCGCCATCGGTTGTCAAGCCTACCATTTTCGATATTGGAATTTTCTCGGAAGAAATAATATTTTTTAAATGAGAGAACAACTCCTGTCCAGTAGTGTGTCCTTTCAGTGGAATAAACTTCAAAAGATCTTCTTTAATCGTAAAATCACTAAAAACCATCCTGACGAACACGGCCATCTGGGCAGTGTCAACGACATCTGTTGATTCATCCAGATAAAGTGAAAAATAAACACAGTTATCTAAGTCAGTTCTTAACTGTAAAAAAATATCATTGCTCATTACTTCTACACGTCTCATCACTGTATTAGCAGAAAGTTGCATAGATTTTATAGCTGAAACTATCTCGTCTTTATTTCTAAAGTTGGCAAATAACGAATCAGCAGTTTCTAAAAACGCCTGTTTTATCATTTCCTTGTCTTTATAAGGTTTATTTTTTTGTGCAATTATCTAGGACACACGGTACGATGCTTGTTGCAGCCTTTTTAACTGTTTCAGTTTCTCCTTTCTGGCGGCAGAATGTAGTGGGAATGATTTTTCAAAATTAGAATGTACAGTTTTATGATGTCTCTCAATATTTCCTTTTTTAGCAACGGAGATCGAAGTATTTCATAACAAACACACATTTTTATCTTTAACTTCTGTAAAAAAGTATTGTTCTTCCCATTCCGAATGAAAGTGGTATGTCTTTACCTTCTTACAACTGCTTGCCATAATATTATTTTTTGTTGTTCTCTACTAACCCAACCGCTGGACGTTGGTTACGCGTTCAGTTTTAAACTAAGCGCAATGTCGCCGCGCCGTGCGAATTTATCCCGTTCAAAGCAATCCTGATCGTTCTCGAACACTAACGTGCTGGTCCGGCTGGACGGTTCTGGCCGATTCTAGCTTGATGGCGTCAGCGGCAGATCGCTCACCCCAACGTTGCCGCTGTTTATGTTTAATTTTATGACAATTAGATTTTTTTGTGGAATTTTCGGAAGCATCTCTGATTTTTGCAGTTTGTATTTTTAAATTAAAATCGTTGTGAGAGCTACCAGAATTTCCTCCGCGAGCTACCGGTAGCTCGCGATCGACAGGTTGGCGAATACTGTACTAGACTATAATAATAGCAACCTTTATTTATCTATAATACAATACAGGTTTTTTTTTTAAATAGAATACAATATATAATTTATTAATTCTAGATATTAAATGTTACATAAATAAATAAATAAATAAACAGATAAAAAATACATTGCCAAAAAAGAGCAAGCAGTATCATGATTTATAATCTTCCTGAAAATAATAATCCACATAAAAGTGATACTGATGAAATCAAGGACATAATAAAAGAAGTTACAACTGAAAATTCTTTAAAAATGTATTTAATATCATTCATAATTTTTAGATTATTGTTTGTTATTTTATTAAAATCCATAATCATAACTAGGAGAAAAATTAAAAACCATAACAATAGGGGTCAAAGCAATTAATGGGATTAAATTACTGCGAGTAAGAATGTGTTACCATTACTGGAATTATCTTGCATAATACTAAGAACCACTTAAAAGATTAGGTAAAGGTGAATTATTGATTTCTAATGGATCATTAGCAGATAATCTAAAATCTATATTCATTTCAATGTTTCTAGATAATGCTTAATTTTCTATTTGCAATACTTAAAATTATCACCATAGTTTTAGTTTTATTTAGAGGTAGTTTACAGAAACAGATTGTATGTTCACCTTTTTTATATTTTTGTAATCTACTCTGTATACAAAGCTAACACAAAATGCAGCATTTTAAGTTTCACATGCAATAACTCTACTAGCAATTTACTATTTGCCAAATATGCAAATTACTGAAAATGATAAGTTTCATCACCGTAAAAGCGTTATTATTAAATCACAATGTAGTTGTCAGATTCAGTTACAGCGACTGTATCCCGAAGGAAAAAACATTTGACATAGCATTAGTTTCGCTACATTACGTGTTGTTTTCTTCGCTGACACGAATTTTCGGTCCATTTCGTAAATTGAACGCGACACGGCTGATTACAGGACAAAACTAGCATTCAAAATAATGATAAGATTAATGGTTAACAATTTATTATGTTGAAGAATTTAATTTTTAGCTTTGAATATTGAAAATGGTAGGTAGAGGGTTTCTAAATTTTAAAAGAAATGGCACAAACGAAAATGAAAATAATAACAGACGTGAAAGATATTTATAAAGGTTTCTTAAGATATTCTACTCAAGTATTGGGAAAATAATGTTACAAGGAAAGTAAAAAATCGTGTTTTAACCTCAAGAATGGCTAGAAAAAGGGGCGGAGGTGAATTGTAGCTTATAGGCTTATAGTCGAAATAGCGTATATAAAAATTACGTTTTGAAATTTTTCTATTAAAGCAATGGGATTTACGTTACTCAAAATATCTCAAAAAACGAAATTAAACGCATTTAATTTTAGGTCCAAATAAATTTGAAAACTATTAAAGATAAAGAGCTAAGATTTGGTGGACATTTTTAAAATTACAGTAGTTGCTGACAACAATATAAATATTGCAATTTTAAGAATAATAAAAATAAAAATCCACAAGATTTAGTAATAATAAAAAAATATTTTTTTTTATATTAGACAACGAATTCGTTTCCTTGTTTATTAATATATTTATTTTTGTTTCAGGATACTTTCAGATAACAAGTTGGAAATGATTCACATGGATTCGTTTAATAATAATACATTTCTCAAAAGACTGTAAGTATTTCTTTTTTATATATATATATCTCTATTTATTACTATTTCATTTTATTCTTATTACATAATGTTTGTGATATTATTAATAATGTTTATTTACGAATACTCCATATACAGTAGTCTGTGAAGAGTATTGTTTCCTAGTTTATTTTTCTTTCAGAAAGGCTTCCATGAATTTTTCCAAAGAAATTTTTTAAGTAATATATAGCCATTTTTTACGGTCTTCTCCATATTTTTATGCGATATCTTCCATCACAATTCAATAAGTAAACTGTTAATTCCAAATTTTTCCCCGAAATTCCCAAATTACTAACATTGTCGCGTCGTCAGACAAACGATCGTATACATAATCTCGGCGTTACTTGCATCTTGGGTAAACTCTCATCCATATAAATCTAAAATTCATAAGAAGTTGAACCTTCTAAAACCGGAGCATGCACTGCGCTTATCATAATAAATAACCAGATCAAAATGAAGTGAACGGCTTCAAGCTAAGAAAATGCTCTTACGGAGTAACTTCGAAAAATTCCATAATTCCAGGATGTGTTATAATTCTGAGAAATCCTGGAGTTTCGGACAAAAGATCTTGTTCCATTCGGGGGATAAGCAAAGTTTTTTCACTAACTTCTTTATTTTTACGTGGACGCATTGAACAAACCTCCTAAGAGACCAAATAGTTTGTTAATTTTAGAAAATTGATTCTTTTCCTTTGAAAGTTGCAATATTTTTAGTCCTAATTTCAGGGTGATTGCAACCAACTAAATTATAGTTCAATTAAAATAACACAATACTGATTATTATACCCTGTACGTTAAGTACAAGATGTCCCAATGAAAAGTAGCTCGTTTCCATTTGATAAAATTTGGTAAAGGTGAATTTAAAAGAGGAGATTTTTAAAAAACACCAAAACTTATAGCAAAATAACACATATCAGCAAAAACCGCAGGTTTTTACGATTTATTTAAAAGTTATAAGCTCTGGAAATGAGATACTTTTCATTGGGACACCCTGTATTACACAGAAGTAAAAATAAATAATTTTCTTGTTCACACTTTCTAATTTTCCTGTCCTAACCTATCTTTATTTAAATATTAAAAGAAAGTAAATTCACAGAAATGTTCTGCGATAAAAACAAGAACTAATTCAATATTTTTATTTAATTAAATATATTGCAAAATACTGTGGTTCTTTAATTCTTCATTGTTTACTGGTTTTAATGATTATAATTACACAAATCTTGAAATTTTTTAAATATATATATTTAGACAAACTTGTTGTAAATCCCTCGTAAACCCTTATAAGCTCAATATAGTTCCCTTATCTCTGCTTCTCCACGTAAACGGGCCACAGTATGACCTGCATTTAAAAGCTATGATGCCCTATATAGGTGAATCCTGACAGCATCCGATGCAATCTATGCAATCCTAATAGGATGTGAATAAATTGTATGTAAATTTGCCTATTCAGAATTTTATAGAAGAAAATAGGAAAGGGGATCAGAAAGTAATGGAATCACGTTCGAGAGTTTGGATTTAGTATCGTTTAAGTAAGTTTTTCAATTAAATAGTATACCTACTAAATAAATACTATTTTCAGATTTGCTGAATGGATTTTAATTAAATCTATTTTTTTTTTATTTTGTCACGCTTCTCATTATTTACCCATTTTCTTTGATAAGTTTCTCGACTCTTTTCTTGGTCGCACTTCGCACCCCATATCGTCACATCCCTCACGGTACTCGCGGAGTCGGACTTGATAGTCAATGTGAGAGATGGCGCAGCATGTATTAAAATTAAAAATAATTCGGTGCAAACATCCATTATTACCAAAAACATGTGTTACACTATTTCTTAAATATTGTTTAAGTTGTGCAACGCTTCCATCTTTATTATTGTTAACCGCGAATTGTGCTGCCTTTACCAATTTTTGTATGACGGTTCTAGTGTTCTTTTTTATGTTGTAAAGATGTTTGCTGCAATTTTTAATGCAATCATTTGTGCATTCCGACTTTGTTACCTGAAATTAAAAATACAATAACGTAAACTAGTTTAACAGATAACTGCAATAATAAGTTTAACAGCTCTCTCCATTTGTTCGTCGGAGAACTGTCCGATATTGGTTTTTCTTAAACAGTTTCTCATGTTCTTCTATAAAACAAAATCATTTGTTTTATCAATTTTATTCATGTTATTAAATTATTAAGATATTTTTTAGCATTAAAAATTTTAATGGGGTACAGTGAAACATGTTTCAATGTGCCCCAAAAAGTTTGTTTCACTGTACCCCAGGTCAAAACAACTTCTTAACATGCCTTTTTATCACACAAACATCAGACTTAATAACAAGAATAATATGGCGATCCATGCCTTATATTCATTCGTTTAACCTCTACACGAAAAAAGTGTTTATTATCCACCACTCAATATGAAATAGAAATATTCAAGAACCAAATCGTTTTTTTATACAACTTCCCCTACTACCTTTCAACGTAATGGAAATAAATCAAAATATTAAAAATTTAATCTTTTGTTACTGTGATGTTCATAATTCTTTTCTCTAATGAGAATGAAACTCACTTAGAATACAGGTAGTCAAAATAAAATTATTTTTATTTCCTAATACTTAAATAAGATTTACAACCTCAATCTATGAACATTATGAATTTTAAAATGAAATTACTTCTTTGAACCTCTAAATCAGTGGTCGCCAACCTCTTAATGTGTTGAGCTACTTTGTTAATTTTAGAATAAACAGCGAGTTACCCACACGGAAGCCACGTAACGCAACGTAAATGAAATAATCCACAGTTAATTTATCATTATATGTATTTATTTTACTATTTAACTGGTAATACATAATACATAGATACTAATAATAAACTAATAACAAAATAACTAATATTACTAGTACGTACTTGTTCATAGCTACATTCCTACCTACCAAACGAAGGTGTTTGAAAAATAAACACAAACTTTTATCCAGCCACAACGGCATGTCACGTAAGATTTAAAAATAGTTAATAATAACAACAAAAAAGTAACGCACTATCATGAACATAAACATTGAAAAATAAGAAAACACGTTCAATGAGAAGGCTGACACTCAGACTCCTGGATAATTTTTTTAATGTTTGCAGTATAATTTGATACAGCCATTCGAATACAATTATCCAAATGTTTATCTGTAAGTCGATTGCGATATTTGTTCTTAATAAACTTCATATTGGAAAAAGAAGATTCACACAAATAGGTTGAACTGAATAATGCTTTCACTTTCAAGGCAACACGGCATAGAACTGAATATTTGTCTTTACTTACAATAGGCCAGATACATTTGGTACTTGAGACCAACAATTTTAAGGCCAAATCATTTTGAAACTCAATTACTTCCATTTCTGTTGCAGCGATGTCTTCGCCAAAGTTCTGCATAACACAAGTTGCAAACTGTTGGATATCAATTTCCATAAAAGACGAAACAACAAACTGCGCTACTAAAGCCATTTTGTTGAAATCCTTAAAACGATTTTTGAAGTTATTCTTCAGGGTAGAAACTATTTCTACATGATATTTGCTGTCATAGGGTTCTAATGGATTTTGAGATATTTTTTCTGAAAGAATAGGAAAATGCTTGGTATCGCTGTTAATTAGGTTTTGTTCCCAAAACTCCAGCTTTTTGATAAATGCTTTTATTTCAAAAATCATTTCCGCTAGTTCTTTGTCTCTCCCCTGAAGCTGCAAATTAAGTTCGTTTAATTTTTCTGTAATGTCCACGAGAAAACCAAAATCTCTAAGCCAGATTGAATTTTCTAGTTCTGGAGTCGGTTCATCGCGTTGTTTGAAAAATTGAGCTATGCCAGATAGGACATCATTAAAATGTTTCAGCATCCGTCCTCTACTTAACCATCTTACTTCAGAGTGAAGGAGTAGGTCCCCGTATTAACAATCAACTTCATCGGCCAAGGTTTTGAATAATCTTCTTTGTAACGCTTGAGCTCTAATCTTGTTCACAATTTTTACTACCAGTTTCATAACGTTGTTTAGTTTCAGGAAATTTCCACATAATGCTTGCTGATGGATAATGCAGTGGTAACAGAGAAATTGCGGAAAAGTTTCATCTTTACGACATAACGCCACCAGACCTTTATCACAACCCACCATAGCTGGAGCGCCATCGGTTGTCAAGCCTGCCATTTTCGATATTGGAATTTTCTTGGAAGAAATAATATTTTTTAAATGAGAAAACAACTCCTGTCTAGTAGTGTGTCCTTTCAGTGGAATAAACTTCGAAAGATCTTCTTTAATCGTAAAATCACTAAATACCATCCTGACCAACACGGCCATCTGGGCAGTGTCAACGACATCTGTTGATTTATCCAGTTGAAGTGAAAAATAAACAGTTATCTAAGTCAGTTCTTAACTGTAAAAAAACATCATTGCTCATTACTTCTACACGTCTCATCACTGTATTAGCAGAAAGTTGCATAGATTTTATAGCTGAAACTATCTCGTCTTTATTTCTAAAGTTGGCAAATAACGAATCAGCAGCTTCTAAAAACGCCTGTTTTATCATTTCCCCGTCTTCATAAGGTTTCTTTTTTTGTGCAATTATCTGGGACACACGGTACGATACTTCAGTTGCAGCCTTATTTTTGTCGACTGTTCTTAAAAATATTGATTGTTTTTCAATTAACTGCTTTTTTAACTGTTACAGTTTCTCCTTTCTGGCGGCAGAATATAGTGGGAATGATTTTTCAAAATTAGAATGTACAGCTTTTTGATGTCTCTCAATATTTCCTTTTTTAGCAACGGAGACCGAAGTATTACATAACAAACACACATTTTTATCTTTAATTTCTGTAAAAAAGTATTGTTCTTCCCATTCAGAATGAAAGTGGTATGTCTTTACCTTCTTACAACTGCTTGCCATAATATTATTTTTTGTTGTTCTCTACTAACCTAACCGCTGGACGTTGGTTACGCGTTCAGTTTTAAACTAAGCGC